TATAGCTATTTTTCTTGCATATATATTTATAATCTTTATATATATATTTTTTTAATATATATATAGATTCATATTTATATTATATTAAACGATGATATCCCTTCTTTGTTCAATATATTAATTAGGTATGATATGTTTATTCACAACTTGATGTGAGCGCTTAGATTTGGAATTTTTTCTTCCTTCTAGTATCATGAAGATAGTCTTTTCCCACATTTTCTTTCCTTTTTTTAGTGACAGTGATATATCGACGATATATTATATTTAATTTAAGTACGATGCTAGATAAAACATTAATTTCTCTAATAGATAAACTTACATTTTCTTCATTTCTCACAATGAATATATAATATATACAGTGGTGATTAAAAAAGGCATATAACCATGTCTTTAACGCTAGATCTTGTCATATGATTGATTTATTAAGTTTTCACACTCTAATATGTAAATGTTTATTTATTTGTAAAATTATATTCGTGTACCATGTAAACCACTAAAAAAAGAGGTTAAAACTTTAAAAATAATATTACAAAATAGTAAATCCATAAATTAGATTTTACTCATCATCTGTAGTTTTATTTTTATAAATAAATAAACATAATAGACAAATTTGAATACTTAATACTTTACAAAAAATATGAGATATACATAAAAATACAGAGACTATGTGGAATAAGTGAAGAAAACTTAATCAAGAATAATTATTGAATTGTAAATTCAATACATGTAAATATATTAGTAAAAAGTAATAACTAAACTTGCTTTTGCATAATAAAATTTGTCATTCTTTAAATAAAATATATTTTTTCTTCGTATCTATATAATTATATCTTCCACTTTTTTTCAGATAATTTATGTTTGCATACTCCATTGACTTGTGTTATAAAATATATTTATTTAGTAATAAATTATAGTGCTTTTATGATGGCTAATTCTCCGAATTTTTCTTTATCCACCACTGTATATATACATATGTATATGTATATTAATTACATATCGATACACATTACATGCTAGTCATTGTCAGAGAATTATTAGTGTTCAAAAGTTCGAAGATTCAAACATGCTCACTTCAGGATTTCGTTAACAATCGGAAAACGATTTTCGGCCGTGGATCGATAACAAATACAACAATTTAACACAATAATTACATTATATATGATACATAACGTTCAACTCTTTTCTTTTCCCATTTTTTCTTTCATTTTTTCATTACGTCACGAGATATTATTCATTAAAAACCTCACATCGACAATTTAAGAAGTCTCAACAAAAGAACAACTTTGTTCAAATATGTTATTCACAGTTTTCGCGGAACACCCTGAAGCGATGCAACAATATCTATAAAGATAATTCACTATACTACTTGTCAAGTAATAAAAATAGAGATTGCATAGATTGAGATTCGTAGCGGATGCATCTAGAGAGATACGTCCTATAAAGATTTCCTTTTGAGCTTTTATATAGCGTGAAACTTTTTACTTTGTATATGTATATAAGTGTGTAAGTGTCAGTTTTGCACGCGCATGCATTCGGCCACGTTGCAGCTGCAATAGGCGTTTATCTCTTGCATGTACGTACCGCTATATTTATTTTCTTGCGATCGCATGACTGTGCAGCCATCTATTGAGTCACAATTTTCACACTAGGGATGGAAACAGTATTCTCGAGTTGATTGCATGAAAAAAATATGATAATATGCTTTCGATATGTCTACAAGTTTGACGTTGTACCTTGAACAAGTATTTGTGAAATTTCGGCCACTGTTTCGACAGATCGCTGCACACTGTCCGCTTGTCTCAATAAACGCTTATACGATCCATGGTTTCAAAAAATTCGCTTAAGAGTTGTTTAGCTGGACAAACCATAATGGTAAACGTGCCTGTAAATTGATCACGATTTTGTGCTATTTTCTCTCAACGCAACGCGTGTTCGATCACTGCGCCACTTTATTGCAATTAACGATATGCGCGAGACCAGCATGACGAAACATCATTTTTTTCCTCACCGACTGAGTATTTAAATGCTTCCGTTGGAGCAGTGCGTCATATTGCACACGTAGCGAATGATACAAATCCCTTCTGCTCTATGTAAAACTTCATTTGCATCTTCTATTCACCCTTGCACGATTTAGAACAATCGAAGGAGGGCTTGTCTTCATAATTATTTCAAAGAAAGAGTATTTTCTTTTAAATCTAGTAACTTTTTAAAAGTTATCCATTCATATATATATATATAAACTTTGTCCAATACATCATTATCGATCGATTCAATCGTCGATTGTCTGCATTGTATAACTCATTCTATCCCTGTTAATCGAATAAACTTTCTCCTTCTCGTACATCGTGTCAAGAGTGTTTCAATCGGCAATCTGTACCCTTCGCCACAAGAAACGATCCATCTTCCTGCCTGTTCGTAAATCAGGCGAAGAGCACACGATGGATTCCATGGTGGCGAAATTCAGCAACTATATCGTGTCAGATTGCAACGATTCTCGCTTAGTTTATCTGTTCTTCTTAATCAAACCGAGCGTCGTCTCGTCATCGTATCGCTGTACGCCATCGCCAACGAGCAGAAACAAATCGTCCTCGAAGTCCGAGCTGCGTTTGTGCGATGAACGCCGGTAATTAGAAAGATTCTTCCGGCAGGGCCATTCATTCTCGTCGAATTAACTCGATGTGCTCTGAAACATTCTTTAAGGTAGCACCGTTAAAATCTTTCGTTCTCATGCAAATTAACAAATTCGATTGCAAATCAAAATCAAACTCAGGAATGTAGATAAAACAGGTACCATTCAAAAAGTGTCACCGAGATTCTGCCCGATGCAAAGGAAAGGAAAATATAATGACTTGAACAAGAAATTCAGAGTGGAACCCAAGTGGCAGAGAATGTGTGAAATAATATGAACAATCACCTCTTCATTGAAGATCTTCCTCACACTTGGGAATGTCGAATATCTCAGCGAACAGGGGTGGCAATTTGAGCTTAGTCCAGTTCCTCCTGAACCAGTCAAGGAGATTCGCGTGTCTGGCACCCAGGGCCCTTAATTCTGGTATCCTTTGTGAGACGCTCGAAACGCCGGAACAGCCGCTCGCGGAGGTAGCCTCGCCGGAAACTGTGTGATTCCGCAGCGCTTGCACCTTTAGCGCCTCCAACAGACGGTCCTGAAGCCTCTGCACCGCCTTCACGTCGTTCAAACCCGGCCTTTCACCCAGTAGAACGGCACCGGAGAAGAGACCCAACTCGGTGTCCGACAATTGGTGGGCATTTAGGGCCGATGTGAATTGCATCAAAGCGGACACAAAGTCTGGCTGTTTTGTTTAGTAAACAATTAATAAATAATAAACAATTTTCTTTCACATATAGATATTTTTTTTTTCTAATTTTATGGCACGAGCAGAGCCGTTCTTGGCGGGGTTATGAAATTGGTAATAAAATCTCCACTCGTGAAAATGCTACTTAAGGACAGCCATATTGTTTTCTAAACTTGCAAGACCAATCCAGAAACAGCTCTGCAGACGAAATTCGGAATATCGTTAAATTTTTGTAAGTAGATGTAACAGTTATAGGAGGCGCTGCATTGTTAGAACTTTGTGGTTAGGTCTGGCTTAAACGTTAGGTTAGATTTGTATTGAGATATGTTCCTTTGTATTTCATAGTATTGCAACGCTTTTCAAAATGTTATATATGTATTATTAGAATCAAAAAAGTGTGAAAAGCTTCTTTAATAGTAATTAAAACCTCAACGTGGAAAAGAACATCGAAAAATATCCAGAGGAATTTGATGTACGAAATTTATATATGCAGACCTGATCCCATTTGCAAATATCAATACTTCGATATAAAGGTTTGTACGTAGAAATAAAGTAGCATGTTCTGATTTCTGAATATTCATACTCTTTTCCATTTTAGGTTAACTGTAACCCACGGTGGTCGAAAATATTGAGCGAATCCTTACCTCGTACATCAATTCCATTTGTTGCCTAGTGATATAAGTACCATCCTCGAATGTCATCGAACTGTCAGTGGTCATCTTTGAGATATGACTTAGCCAGACCTCAAAGAAACCGACCTTAATCAGGATTAGCTGATCGTCCTGCGAAAGATCGCAAAATCCTGGCACCCTTTTGGCAAACTCCACCACTCTTTGCACCGATGGCGTTACCCTAGTGGCGAATTGTTGCCAAAGCCAGATCCTTTGCGATTCAACTGTTTCTGCTGTCGAGGATGCCGCCTCTGGGTCCTCTGGACTGGCGGGCTGCGAAGAAGTACTCGCCTAATCAGCAGGATTATAAAAGAAACAGGCGTTGCTGCCAGTTCCAATTCCACCATGTCATTCTAATATGTTAACCAAATTATTAGTAGCGGATACGACAATGACCACGTTTCGTAGCTTCTTTTTAAAGTAAATTAACTTTTTAAAGAAAGCGACTTAAAAAATTAACTTAAAAATTAACTTAAGCAACTTAAAATATTATTCTATTGCTGATATCTTATACGTATTATTAATTCCACTTTCTAAGATATTATTTCACCGTTGATATTGCTATTGCCCGAGGACCCTATTTCTCTAGATCTATAAATGTACGTGCCTTGTACTTGGTGTCTAACTTCCTCGAAAATGTATCTATTATACTGTACATTTATCCTATTATTAGTCTTACGTCGTACACGTTAGTTTGATGTATATTGTGTGCTAAGTGTACGTTTATTATCAAACAGTGGAGTATTTGGATACTACAGCGATTGCTCGCTAGATTTGTAAAATTCCAGGTTATTCGTACAAGATCAACGAGACTTTAGCAGCATTCTATCGCTAAATATCCAGCGGATTCGTGATCGTTTCAACGGCTGCAAAGGCTCAGGAACTAACTCCACGTAGCAGCATCTAGCCTAACGAATGAACCGCGATAACTTCCAGCATGGTACTTTCTACATCGTCCAAACGGTGTCCAAAGTTAGGGTAAACGTTCCTTCCAGTAATATCTGCGCGAGTCGTATCCACCGCTAACGCGTCTATGCTCCTCTAACTTCGCTCCCGAATTTCCAGGGAACTCACCGGTATTATCATCGGTTTCCGGACGATGCCCCTCGTTGACTCCTCGGTGAAGCCGCAGTGAGCGTGGTGCGCCTGGGAAACTTGAAGTATCACGTCGTACACCGCCAACTGTTTCACATCCGCGTCTGACTGGTCCGCTTCCACCACTGCAGCAGGTGGCACGCAGGGTATGGCGTTCTGGGGCTGGCTGTTGTTGTTGTTCTGGCTGCTGGTGTTGTTGTTGTTGTTGTTGTTGTTATTGGTGGTGTTGTTGTTGTTGTTGCCACTAGCGGGAGACGTGAGTTGCTGTACACCAGTGGTGGTGGTCGTTGTCGTGGTGGTCGGTACTGCGTCTTCGGGGCCACGTTCCCTCGAACGTTTCGGCACCCTGCCGTATCTAACGGCTGAAACAAAGAGAACGAGTTGCTCAGTTGTTTGGGAATAACTAGGTTCGGGTTAAGACACAATTGGAAAACATAGAGAACAAGTCATTAGAGTAATTAGACCTGCTTGGATTAAGATACAATTGGGGAACAGAAAGAACCAAGCATTGAGTCTTTTGAGAGTGACTTAGTTTGGGTTAAGGCACAATTGGGCACAACAGAAAGAATCAGTTGTTGAATCTTTTGAGAATCACGAGGTTTGAGGTTAAGACAAAATTATGGAAAAGAGAGAACGAGTCATTGGGTCGCTTGAGAGTGATTAGGTTTGGATTAAGACACGATTGTTAATTCGTACATTCAAACAATCGTAAATTCGTGAATCCTTGTTCGCCTAGCTTTCATTATCGCGATAATAAAATCTCAAATGAATCATTTATCGCGCGGAAAATAATAAATAATGTCTACCTTCCGTGAAAAGTATCGGTTCCTTTTTATTCACAGAAGTTAAATGAAAAAGAAGAGGAAAAGAGAAATAAAAGGAACCGAATAGCCAAGTTACAAAAATACGATGTCTGGGATTTAGCTCTAGAAGCGTTGGATTAAGGGCAACGTTAATTACCCTATGCATCGAAAGTTTTCATCCCCCGTATTCATTAATCATATGAACTTCCAAACACTTTCAAAGTAGTTTTAAATAAATTTCCAATTTTCTTGTTACATTTCACGAGCAGATGAATTATGAAATACATTTGCATCGCGTGATCAAATAAACATTTATTCTATAATAAATTACTAACTAATTCAGGATGTAATTAACCCCCTGAGTTACGATTTGATTGTGAAATATGTATTGAAAAAGGATTTAATTTTAGGCACCTATTATATATCTATTTCATTCGAGATCCTGGAATAGAAGAATTATTACAGAAATCTGGCATTGGTTCTGCAAATTTACATTTTCACGAGTATAAAAATAAAACGACGCAGTTTTCGACTCGCGTGCAATTGTTATATCCAAACATATTACTGCAAGGATGGAGGAACAAGTAAAACAGAAATAAAATGACACTCGGACAATACAATAGTCATCCGGTGTGAATATGAACGGATTGAGTGTATTACCAACTACGAAAAATTAAATCTTATGCTTCCAACGTATGTCATGTACGGAACGCCATATTAGTCCTAACCTCCAATCCCGAGAATGAGCATATTTACGAAAGATTAATGTTTTACACGATGCTCGAGAGAATTATCGCGGACAACAGCGGGTCCAAAGCTTTTGGGCCAGCTTTACCACGGTTACATCCGCTTCTTAAGCGGATCACAAGACTAGCAGCAGCTTATTACGATTTCGCCGACAATACGAGCCGGGAAGCTCCGTCGGTTTCCTATTATACGCCGCCGCATATTGCACGATGGAACTTTGACGTTTAATTATGTAGCCAACTTCGTTTCAGTTTACCTAACCCTCACGCTACTCGACGAGCGCCAGAATTCTCGGAAACTGAAAGACGAGCTGCTTATTGCTACTGGGCACATAAAGAGTCGTTGGTTCAATCGTAAATAAACGCGAACTCCAAGCGACGTTCACCGCTAAAGAATCAAAGAGTTCGACATTTTGTTCGAATGATTTAATCGATAATAAAATAACACAAGTAACTATTTTCTATCGCTCGATTGCTGTAAAAATCCTGCATTCTACGTTATCGATTTGGTCCGTTGATTTCGTATTTTGTGTAATGAGGTAATTTAGGTTATCCAATTTTACTTTGTAATCTGCGTTTTGTACGATGGAAATTATTAACCGTGTTTAACGCGGAGAATATAGAACACGAAATAAAACGTGGTATTACGGAATTACCTAACCTATATTGTGGTTATCTATAGTGCAAAGTTAATAAGAAATTTTGTGTCGTTTATACGAAACGAAAAGAACTTTCACAATTATATTTTGTATTCTGTTTAATTAGGTTCTGTTATAATAATTTTTTGATAAATACTAAAAAGAGATAAGTATCTTTTCCTAACCTCAATTGATCAATTTTCTTATTGGTGATTATTGATGACTGCTACTTTGGAAATACTAAGTTTCTAGGTTTTTAAACGAAGACAAATTTAAATTAATATTTTACGTTTAAAAGGAGGATGTATAATTTGATTCCTTTCTTGATTATAACGTTTTCATAAAATTGTGCCGCGTAATGGTATATAACGGGTACCCAAGAAAGGTTTCCAAGACTGTTAGATGCAACAATGGGGTACTTGTTCCCAAGGTGAAGTTTAATAATTTGCGTCTGCTGTTACGCATTTTAAACACATTCTTCTTTGCTTTCATTAAGCTCTTAGCGCTCAGTGGACAATCTGAAAAGGTACTAAGTAACGGAAATAAAATAAAACAGCTATAAATTAAATCACGATAAGTCAATTAAATTTCATTCTTGTATCTCAGAATAAATTGAAATTTATATATTAATATGACATTTCTATTGTCATTATAAAGAAAATGACAATATATCGTTTGTAATTATAACTAACGAAATGGTAATAATTCGGTACTTCTTTTCATTAAAATTTTGTTAAAAAGCGTATTTCATTATGTTTACATAAAAATGATAATTAAAGCATAAAATAATTATAGCTATATAAATTTATAACAAAAAATGTCAAGGATAAATCATATTTTTGAATTATATTTTAAATTATATCTCTTCGAAAGTTTTTTCGAAAGTTGTCTTTTTTATACGTTCTACATTACTGTACTGTAGTGACTTGAGAAAAAGTATAAGTGGTTACTTACAATCCCTGGACATGCCGACAGCTAGGCACTTCTTGAATCTGCAGTACTGGCAGCGGTTCCGACTTATTCTGATGACCAGACAGTTGCCGTCCTTCAGGCACCTGTATTCTATCTGCTTTTGAATGCTTCTCCTAAAGAAGCCCTGGAAAAAAGAAAGCAATAAGTACTTGTTAGTGTACCATTACTTGTAGTACAAGAAGTTATATTTTTACGTGCTCTCTCCACAAAAAGACTCGAATCTCTGAGCTTTAAGAGAATACACACACACACACATGTATATGACACATAAGAATTATCAGAAAAAAAGAACTTTATACATATAATAAAGATTTCACTATTTCGCTTTTTATACAAATACCTTTACTGTTTTTGTAAAATTGTCTATAAAATTATTTGTCGCACAATGACATTAATTATCTTTGATAACATACACGTTTATCGTCATCGATTATGATCCGTTATTGACCAATCGTTTATTGGATTAATTTGAATATATAAACAGTTAGAGGTTTTGTTGCGCCCTCTACGATTCAGTGTCGTGAGTTTAAGAACTATATTCAACGCATATGACAGATAAAACAGATACGAAGTTCTTGAAGAAAGAACGAGTGTCGCATCGTGTAAGACGAAACATTTGTTAATCAAATATGTTAATAACAGATAATTTGTTATTTATTATTTATTGTAATACCTATTAATTACCAGTATTTTTATACTTCTTTCAAATGAATATTTCACTCTGCCAAAGTGTTCAAGCCCAAAACCTTAATTATACATTCATATATCTCTACAACATATTCTTAGAACACATAAACTAACAAAAGGTGTCAAAACATCAAGTTACACGTATCAAGCAATCGTCTGACAATATCTTCACTCATTAACTGTCAGTCCATCTACAGTTAGTTCGTTCATCTCGATTGACCGTTTCTAAGATTCCCGCCGCCATTACGACTAGATTCTACTTCTTGTTATTCTTCCAGTCATGGCTGCTTCTCCCTTTTAAAGTATCGCGTAACAAGTGTTCAACGCGATGACTTCAACGATCCATCACCGATACCAACAGGTAATCGCTTCTAACCGTGTTCGACAGGGGAAAAAATGGCTGACAAATATTAACGCGTGGAGTCACGTTGGAAAGTTCAGTGTTTGCGAGATTACATCAAAGGCCGTCCGATCGTCGAATAGCTTGATTCATTGGTCTCCGTTGCTTCTGCTACGTCTTCGATGGAAAGAGAAATCCCTTTTCATCGCACGATATTGCCTCGACAAATCCGACAAACGTTATGGTCGAACCGACCCGTTGAAAATTGAACGTTCCCGATTTCTCTGTTGCGAGCGATACGCTGTTGGTAAATCCTACTCGTTTTGAATGGATGCTGTCATACCATGCGAGATAATACAAGAATAAGAGAATGAAACCGTGGAAAATCCTTTGAAATTACTTCTGAATCGTATAGATATTTCTTTCCTTATTGCTTATTTTCTATTTCATTTCTGTCTAGTGATTTTATCATAGTTTTGACAATAGTAGCACAACGGAGATGTCAAAGTCAATGTGCACAAATTCCACATATAAATTTAACGTCTTTTAAATATCAAGTATCTCCAACTACTAAATAATCGAAGAAACTTTGCACGTATATAATTATCGTTAAAGCGATACTCGATAATCTCGAACGAAAGTTTACTGCAGTGCAAGCAAGAAAAGTTCGCGAGACGCAGTTCAGAGGGCGGCATCGATCTAGACTCCAAGGATACCGAATGCTAGTACGATCGTCGATTAATTCTCTCAGGTCTCTAGCTGGATTTAGGGATCGTAAAAATGTCATTCGCGGAGAGAAACGATAGGGAAAAAACGAGCTTTCTAAAACGCCAAGATAGTCCCGTACAGCCATTACCGCGCCACTTCTACGGTCCGACGTCTCCCGCTGATTTATGAGAATCGATCCGTTTATCGCCTTTATGTAAATGCTTGGCAAATAAAGCGTCGGTACGGTCGCAACACGGAAATATAACGCGAATTTATCGTATGATAATTTATCGACGAACAGCCGCGTGCTTCCGAGTTGAAGACAATATACAGTCGGTCAAGCAACACGTAATGTGGTTCAATGTAATAGGAAAAGTATAAAATTAAATTTGACGTTCAAGTAGCATTGTGGTGATGAATATTTTGCTTTTAATTATACAACATACTGTTGTGTATTTCGAGAAATATTTAATAGAGTAAACAAAGCACATTTCAAATTAGTTATTGACCAATTAAAATAATATAATTTCGAGAGACTGGAAACAAATAAACAGCCACAATTATAAATGTAAATTGATCCGATTGTTTCTATATGGCAAACAGAAATTGATTATTAAATTTGATATGCGCACATATTTATGTAAATATCTAGTAAGCAATTTATTACTAATGCAGTATATTTGTTCGAATTCTACACAAATTTGAATGTAATAATTATTCGATATATTTTCCAATTTCTACATAAACAATTATTTGATATTTTCCAAATTCTCTGAAACAATCAAATTACGAAAAATAAATTTCAAATTGGCCTACCTATTATATTTACTTTCTAAATTTAACCATTTTTTTGCATGAATCATATTTCAAAAATAGTCTATAAATTCCATCACATTTTTCTTCCCATAGATAAGATAATTTCTTATGCATCTGAGCCATTTTCTTCCTGATCGTATCCCATTATGGACACTCAAAAGCTGCACTCAATAAAAGTACCATAGCAGCAATAGCATCACTTGCAAGATATCTATTCTTAGAGTTCTCCTTATCTAGTTCAGCCATTATCTGTTTTAACAATCTATATGAGTCCTTATATCAAAGTTAACCACTGTGGAGAAAGATCGTGGAATTTTCGAAAGTTCCCAATGTGTACGGAAAAGACACCAAGCTCCGTCTAGTGGCGAAGGCGTGAAATATCAGCGTGAAATCTTACAGGCCTCCTAATTCCACGACTGTAGGCACAACGCCGGCGCTCCGAGACAGACCGATATCCCGACGTCTGGTATATACCATCGGAACCCGTTTATAGCACACGAATCTCGCGTAATTAATTTTAAGCAGAGGCTATACCTGTAGATGCAACCTCTGATTCTCATTTCCGAGTCGATTACCATCCGTGCTGCATAGGGTACGAATTATCTTGAGTGTTCTCTGCTGATGAATTCCTGCGACATCTCTGCGAGCTTTTACAAGATATACATGTACTAAGTTACGACGAGGTTGAAAGAAAAGATGGAAACAAATTAAATGATCCGATATCGAGTTAAAATTCAATTTTGAGGAATCAAAATGCAATTATTTTCGTGATAAGATATATCTAGTGAGTTTTCTCTTCGCGATGTTTCCGTTAGTGTCTCACAGATGTCTCACGAATCGCCATAGGGACAAGACAGGTGTTGCGTTTGTTTTATACAATTCTCAACACTTTTCACAGCGTTATCTGATGTAGTAATAAAACAAATTATTTTATGTTACATAGTTAACATGATTGTATCACTGCAATAGAATATCTCATAGGTCGCTAGTTCAGTATTAAATGTATATTAATCATATTCGTACGAACCAAAATGAAATTAAGTAGATATATTACAAGCTACAATTATCTGAATGTTACAAGCTGGAACGAAAAACATCCGACTGCATATCTCCCAAGCGCTAAAAGACTGGACACATTTTATTCCATTACCCTTCAGAGTTAACAGACTGTACAGGGGGATTCCCCAGAGGGAGACGGTGCGCGTTCCCGCCCCTCCACCTCAACGAAAGGAAACGTCGTCGAGTATCGATCGCGTGGGAGAATTTTGAAATCGGTGCCGGCAGGTGCTGAATTATTTCTGCGCGAGACTCTCTTTTTCTATTCGTCCTATCTCTCTGGGTCAACGAAGCGATGCATAATTCAATTTTATTTTCCATCTCGGCCGCCCACGTCCCGGTCGAAGGAACATCGATGCCCACCCTCGAGATACCGCTCTTTTCCACTTTGACTAGTTCGAAAGGGATAAAAAAAAAAAAAAAGAAAAAGAGAAAAGAATATTATTTCCATGGAGGGAACGCGAGAAGAAACGGAAACGTGAATCGTGAGCTGGTTGCAAAGCGTCCCTAGTCGACCGAGCGAGAATCGACTGTGACGCGGTTGCAAATGAGATTTCTTCGTTCGTCCTGGAAATATTGACCGGGTTAGCAGGGGATTTTTGTCCTCCACGAGTGCCAATGGGCTCGCCCGGAGACAATATCGAAGATCGGCTTTTCGGGTGTTTGCTGGGTGCATCGCAGTTTCAAGTCAATTTATTCGGCTGCGGATAAGGAAGTTAGACTGGTTCTCCAGGAGGAGTTTTGGTAGTATAATGTAGAGGTTATGTGCGAATATATAGTAAGTTTATTCTTATTGATTTTTATGTTGCTTGGAGGCTAAGAAGAATTATTTTAGTATGACACGATTGGGAAGAGGAACAGAGATAGAAAAGAGGTATTCAAAAATATAAAATCCATATTATGAAGAAAAGTTTTCAAAATATACGAATTTAAAAATTCGTGTAAAAAATTAATGAAAAAAATATGTATGAAAAATTTTGGTAATACGATTTTGGCTTTTAATTTATTTTTGAATAAATAAGAAATGAGTAATTATTGTAGCTCTTATTCATTTATGTTATAATTTCAATATTTAAGCAATGATGTATGTTGTATAAATATTAACTTCTTTATTACTTGGATGTTACAAAACACGAGAATATCTTTAATTACTTCTGAATTCTTTTTACCAATTTAAAATTAAAAGACTAAATACAAAAATTAAAAACATTTAAATTGAAAATTTTTCTGGAATTTTTAAAACTGAAATAAAAAATTAATTTCATTTAAAAAGATGTTAATTCCTGATAAGTTAGAAAGCACAAAAATAGCTTCAGGTAATTCCTATCTTCGAAACCTTTTAAACTTTCACGTGTTAAAAATCGTTAAATTTTTCATTTTTACAACATTTGAGCTTCTCAAATCTTTCAAACGTTTCGAACTCGATAAATTTTCCAAATAAAGCTTTCAGAACTCTCAAATATTTAAAACTCTTTAAATTCTCCTAATCCTTAAGATTGTTCAAAGTATTCAACATT